GGTTGACGTTTTACCGGGTTACAAGCGGCCTGAAAACGGCCCGGAAAATACGATAGGGAGGGCGAACGATCACAGGCAAATTGGCCGTCGCGAAATTTCCTTTCACGCGTTGCTTTTGATCTCTCGAACACACGTTTTTCGCGCGCCCCGACGTTCTCAGAGGCTGCGTAGCCAGTAGCTACCATGGTAGACGACGAAATTCACTTTGACATTGAATGGATTCACGGTTGAGACACGCAGACTGGGAGTGTCTCGTTGCGAATTTATGGGGTTAGGTCATCCCCTTTCGAAGGTTTATTTGCGTCGCCCGTGAAGGACCGGCTTCTTTGTGATCGCTGCCGTTCTCCCGGCATCTTGCTCCATGGCTCGGTCCATTGTGCTTGATCCTTCAGCCGAAGCGAGATCGATACAATAAATTCTCTACAAGAGTCAGTAAGTTTGGATTCTACAAGTGACAGTATAGATGGTCCTATGCCTAGGTCTGCGTCATTGCTGCGCCCATCAGTCAAACGTGTAACGCTACACCAGTCGGTTTCTTTTACGAGATTTCACGGCTCGACAATTCATAATAGAAAAATATAATTTCTTTAATTTTACTTTTTTTCATCTGGAATTTTTTTAACATATTACTGAGATTTTTCTGATGAAAATGATATCAAATACGATATAATTTGAACAACATTTACTTATTAACACGTTCACTGTCGCGCCAGATTTAAAGGTTGCTGTCAGACGGCCACAAGAAAATACATTTTAAGCAGCTCATATTTGAGCTGGCAATACACAACACAACTAACTACTAAACCAAATCACCAGAAAAATTTTCAATATTATTATTGAAGTAAACTTTCGTAGAACGAGAGTGAAAAATTGAAAGAATCAAAAGAAAAAACGCGAATACATATCTTTCTCAATTCTAGAATATAAGAATAAAATACGCGACGAGAATTGGGGAGAAGCATAAGTTAAACGAGTCAAAATAATCAATAATAAACGAACTAGGGATGAAGCTATTATTTCAATACGCGATGCACTGACTCTAGTATTTACTAAAATTCAAAAATTCTCGTATAAATTCCGAAAATAGATTATTAATTACGGTAAACTACTGAGACGGTTTAATTAAGGGTGGGCATGGTGCTGCTTTAGTTTGAAATGATTTATAAACACATAATTAACAGAGGAAAAACCGTGAAACGGCAAAACGTCTACATTCTAATTGTTATAACATGTAAACAGAACTTTAAATTTAGTGTAAACAGAAAAAATATATAATACAATTTATTTCACGGTATTGCAACAAATAAACGTTGAATAAATATTTAATTCGTATAAAAACAATTATTTAACGTAATAATTTTACCTTCACCATGGCTATTTTTAATCTACGACCACAGGTCAACCTGATTTCTAATCCTTACGAACTTTAAATTCAGTCTAAACTGAGAAAATATATAATACAATTTATTTCACGGTATTGCAACAAACAAACGTTGAATAGATTCTTAATTCGTATAGAAACATTTATTTAAAATAATAATTTCACCTTCACTATGGCTATTTTAAATTTACGACCAAGGGTCAACCTGATTTTTAATCCTCCGAACTTGATTTCACAACGAGAAAGTAATAAGATCGTTGAAACGTACTTATTTGTCAAAGAAACTTGCAAAAATGTATAAATAATAATATGTAATGTTTTAACAAATTTTTGGAAGTATAAATTAATAATAAAATTGTGAAAATTAATAAATTATACGTTATTATAACATTAATAGAATTATGACTAAACCGAAGTTCGAAGTCGAGTATTTAAAGTCTGATATTACGTGCCTAGCGAGTGCCGGTAATTGTTAAAATTTGTTTAATAATTAGTAATAGAAATTCTAATTGATTCTAATGTATACAAGTGTTACAAGAAGGCTGAGTGTGTACAGGGTGGACATAGACTAGCTAGTAGCCCCCGACCACTCTATTCACATCTCAGAACCTTCAGGTCAAAATACGCCGCGAAGTGTCTAGGGCCCAGTATAAAGGGTAAATGATTTCGCGGGACATCGGCGGGTCCTTATATACCTGCGGTACCCTCTCCCCAAAGTCATTAGCAAAATCGTCGGTTAGGTCAGGCGGGAAATTTTCGCGGGAGATTTTCGCGGGAGATTTCCGATATCGTAACACGGTATAATTTATCAATTTTCACAATTTTATTAAAAATTTATACTTCCGACAATTTGTTATAACATTGCATATAACAATTTATACGTTTTTACAATATTCTTCAATGGAAACATAGGTTTTAGCGTTCTCGTTACTTACTCGTGGTTAAATTAATTTCGTAGGGATTAAAAATCAGGTTGACCTGTGGTCGTAGATTAAAAATAACCATAGTACAGCTAAATTTATCGTGTTAAATAATTCTTCTTACACGAATGAAAAATGTATTCAACGTTTGCTTGTTACAATACCATGAAATAAATTGTCTCGCAATGTAAATTTAAGTAAATTAGGTTGAACTGCACAGAAAATGCACAGAACTGCACAAATAATTTATTTCATGGTATTGTAACAAGCAAACGTTGAATACATTTTTCATTCGTGTAAGAAGAATTATTTAACACGATAAATTTAGCTGTACTATGGTTATTTTTAATCTACGACCACAGGTCAACCTGATTTTTAATCCCTACGAAATTAATTTAACCACGAGTAAGTAACGAGAACGCTAAAACCTATGTTTCCATTGAAGAATATTGTAAAAACGTATAAATTGTTATATGCAATGTTATAACAAATTGTCGGAAGTATAAATTTTTAATAAAATTGTGAAAATTGATAAATTATACCGTGTTACGATATCGGAAATCTCCCGCGAAAATCTCCCGCGAAAATTTCCCGCCTGACCTAACCGACGATTTTGCTAATGACTTTGGGGAGAGGGTACCGCAGGTA